CTTTCTCATGCATGAAAGAGCGCACGGTTGGCCTTACTTATCACTTTGTTACATTGATGACTGGTGTTCATTTTGGAGTCGACTATGACTCGGAGATAGATCCCTTTCTGCTGCTGTGCTGCTTAGAAAGTCACCTCTCAGACTGTAGGTGTGTTGGTGATTCTTTCTCCCTAGATGCAACACTTGGCACTTATCATTGTTAAACTGCATCCTACTCTGATCTGCCCACTTTCCCAATCTGTTCAAATCTGCCTGAATCAGCTCCCTGCCCTCCAGTGTGTTTACTTTGACCCATAATTTGGTGTTGTCCATGAATGTGGACAGAGTGCTTTCCACGCCCTCATCCAAGTCACTGATGAAGATACTGAACAGCACTGGTCCAAGCAGAAAACTTTGGGGAACTCCAGTGCCCACATTTTCCATGTCAAAAATGACGCATCCACCACTACCTTCTGGGTGCGTCCCATAACCCAATTCACTCACCTGACCATGTAGTAATCTACATCACAACCACTTAATTTATTTGTAATAATGGGATGCAACATTGTATCAAAGGCCTTTTTAAAATCCAAGTAGATAACATCTACCTCAACTCCTGCATCTAAGCAATTTGTGACCTGGTCGTAAAAAGAAACAAGGTTAGTCAAGCAGGATCTACCTGCTATGAAGCCATGCTGGTTGCCCTTCAGCATTATTTTTCCTTCTGGACTCCGACAAATGTGATCCTTAATAATTTTTTCAAAGCTTTTCCCAAGGATAGAGGTGAGGCTAACTGGCCTATAGTTACCCAGATCATCCTTTCTCCCCTTCTTGAAAATAGGGGCTTAGGTGTCTCTGTACTAATGCTAGGAGCATAGGGGACAAGCAGGAGGAACTCACACTCCTGCTTGCAAACAAAGACTTCGACCTGGTTGAGTTAACAGAAACCTGGTGGGACCCTACCCATGATTGGGCAGTAGGCATTGAGGGCTGTAGGCTGTACAGATGAGACCGAATGGGGAAAAAGGGGCGGGGGGACATTGCTCTATCTTAAGGAGCAATACATGTCTTCATTATTCAAGATGGGATCAGAAGGGGGGCAAGTTGAAGCACTGTGGGTCAGAATACAAGGGGGTCAGAGTGAAAGGCACTTGGTAGTGGGGGTGTATTACAGAGCACCACACCAGGAGGATGAGTTAGACCTGGCATTCTTGAGACAGCTCTCAGAGGCGGTACACACAAGGGACATGGTTGTCATGGGTGACCTAAACTACCCTGACATATGCTGGGAGGAGCAATCAGCTAGATCTGCCTGTTCACGAAGGTTCCTAACCAGCATACAGGACCTTCACCTAATGCAGGAGGTATACAGTCCCACTAGAGGAAATGCCTTACTGGACTTGGTGCTTGCTACAGGGGATGACCTGGTGGGTGATATGCAGATACAGGTTAACCTAGGGGATAGCGACCACCAATTGTTAGAATTCACTATCTGACGAAAGGTGGGAAAGATCACTAGTAGGGCAGAAGTGCTAGACTTCAGAAAGGCTAACTTCAATGAGCTCAGGAGATTAGTAAGTGAGACACTGAAGGGCAAGAGCATTTGTGAGGTGGGAGTCCAGGGAGGGTGGGCATTCCTCAAGGGAATGATCCTTCAGGCACAAAAGGGGACCATACTAGTGCGCATAAAGGGAAGCAAAAGAGCCAAGAAACCCTCTTGGCTGAACAGGAAAATCCAGGAGAGCCAAGGGGGAAAAAGAGGTATACGGACTATGGTAGCCACCAAGGAATACCTGCTTGGCTCGTATTTGCAGGGAGTCAGTTAGGAAGGCCAAAGCAGAAATGGAACTCGGGCTGGCAACAAAAATTAAAGAGTCCTTCTTTAGGTACATAGGGAGCAAAAAGAAGGCACATGGTAACGTAGGACCCCTACAGGACAGGCTAGGGCAATTGGTAACAGGTAGGAGGGATAAAGCTGAGCTCCTAAATGAGTTTTTTGCATCTGTATTCCTGAGCACAGATAAAGACCTCTCTCCCAGAGGGCCAGAGACAGGCACAAGAGGGACTCCAAGCCACCAACAGTTAGCGCTGACCAATATTCATGACTCAGACCTATACAGACTGATGTGAAAGTGCAACACTAAACAGAGGTCTGACCCTGACTGTCAGGTCTCAATAAAGTTTTTTGCTTGTCCCGCTGAAAACTGATAAAGAGTAACATATTGTCTGCTTAAGTAACTGAGAAGCTTGTTTTAGTAGCTCTTTTAATCCGAGAGGACGGATTGTTTTTGCTTTTAAACAGCTGTTTCTTTGGTGGGGTGCTAGGTTGCTGTTCATGTCCAGCCTGTGAGAGAAACCTATTGTCTTTTACTAGTAGAATTTAAAGAATATATATTTTTTAAGTGAATTGGAATATGATTTACGTGAATTGCTTTTGTGGAAATTGCAGTTTTCCTTCAGCTGCTCAAGGTGTAAAGGGAGTAGCAAGTAATAAAGAGAATTTTCAGACCTTCAAAACATTGGGAGATTTGGATGTCTGAGAAGACTTGTGAATATGCTGCATAATGCATTGCCTTTTAGGAGATGGGTTCAATTTCAACCCAAACCTTTTATGAGAAAAAGTTGCTACCACGTGATTTGGAATAGATTTGCTGGTTTAAGCTCATACCATATGAAATAAGACCGCCATGACTGACTCTTAGGTATCAAGGTTGTAGCCATATTGGTCTAGAGGCAAAAGGAATCAGACCTCGTGGTAGAGGTGATATCTTTTATTAGACCAACTTGATGTTTGCAAAAAAAAGATTCTTTATTTGCAAGCTTTCAATTACAAGCACCCTTCTTCAGGCATAGGAGAAAAGATGGTAAAAGTTCTCCTAGGTAGAAATGAAAGTTTGTATTTCATAAGAGTTGAAGGTGTGGAAAAATATCCTGTTTTTACTCTCTGCCTTTGTGACAAATTTCTGTAGAGAGGTAAATGAGCTTTTATCTGTCATTTTGCTTCCAGAGAAGTTCAGTCCAAGCTAGGTTTAAGTATCTGGGTGAAATAACTCTTCGCTTTTGCAACCCTGAGCAATGTGTTAGCAAATAACAAAAATAAAGACCCTGAAGTACTTGTGTGTTGACCATGGATGTTTCCTGTTCTGAATAGAAATGATCTCTTGTCTTGGACTAACCATGTAGTTGGGATAAAGTTTAGACAAGCTTTTGAATGCAAGCCATTTTTCCTCAGGTGTAATCCTGAGGTTTAGGAAGTATCTAGTCAGACATGAGAGAGAATGTCTTACATTTGAAAGCTTGTCTAACTTTATCCCAACTACATAGTTGGTCCAATAAAATATATCACTTATAAATCTTTGCTTATGACATAATTTCTGGACCCTCATGGCTACAACATCACACTTACACTGTCTATTCTGAATAGACAGACAAACTGATACCCAAGTTACACAATTTGATGACAGATCCCACTATGTGGTACAATATGAATGCTGACCATAGTGAATGGTCTGTGAGTAACCAGTCCAAGGGTGGTCGTGATGCCCCCTGGTGGCTCCGTGACCATGCATGCCCCACTTTGCCCCTAGGCCACCTTACCTTCTCACCTGTCCTGCCTTGATGGCATAATGATAAACAGGGATGCTGCCCATGGACCTTTGCATGGCCCTAGTTCCACTGCTAGGGTCCCCAGCATCCTACTGAACCTCGCTGGTCCTTGGGCCCCTCACTGGGCTGCTCAGGTTAACTGTACCCTGCAGGGCACCCAAAGCCTTAAGGACTACATGCATGGCTCTAAATCCTCCACTATACCACACCCCAGGCCTTGCTGGTCACCGAGCTCCTGGCCCCCATTTGCCAGGCCCCTGTATGATTGCACCTCTTTGGCACTGGGCCCCTGGCCGCTGTGTGGCTGCTGCCTTGCACTCTGCCCACTCTGGGCTCAATTACTGCTCAAGCCTTGAGCCTGTGTCTGGCTCCCTAAGCCTCAGTGTTCCTGCAGGCAGCAAAGCAATCAGACTCGTGTTCCTGGGCGCCTCGCCTGGGCAGGAGCTTCTAACCCCACAGCTAGCAGGGCTAGATTAGGTTGCCAGCCCAAGCCCCCAGGCTTATGTGCTCCCAGGGCTCTGCCCCTTTCCAGTCGTTTGACTGCCTGGGCTGGCTGTAGGTGCCTGCTAATTGTCTCATTTGCCTGTTGCCCCAGCAGCCTGCAGCTGCTATACCCTGCCTACCCTGCAGAGCTCCCTGGCTGGGCTACTTCTTTTAAAGGAACAGAGAGACCCCAGGCTCTGTTATAGTACAGTAAATTAAAAAACCCCCCCACGTTATTTACATTCCTTTCTCTCTCTCAAGAAGGTAGTTGGATAACTGTTGCTTGTTTTTTATGTCTGGGAGTCCACAGATTATATGCACTGACCACTTCATTACAACTTACTGTTTTTAATCAACTCAGGGTATAAAAACTAGAGATTAGAAGTCACATAGGCAGGGAAAAAAAGGACAAAGGATTTCCTAAAAAATAATTACTGAATAACTAAATATCTAAATTGTAATGAAATGACAGCTGTAGTTGTTTTTAAAAGGTGTGTTTTGTGCATGCGTATTATATATATTTGAAAATTACCATAAATTTTTGCAATTCATAGTTCTATGTAACTTGTTTGCACATATGTTGAAATTCTCTGCCAGATGTTGAGTAATAATGGGTTGGGTGGTTTTTAAAATGTATGTACTTCTACACACACACCAGGTTAACTAGAGACAGCTGTACTTAAGATGGGAATGAAAATACTTTTTTTTGTTCCTTTTTTTGGTTTGTTTGTTGTTTTTTTGCTCAAAATGGCATCATTTGCATTTGACTGAAACTAACTTTCAAATTTGACAGTACGAAGGAATAACATATATCAAATCAGTTTCTGCAGAAATCTTCTTCAGTTTGAATGTACTGGTTTGGTTGGAAAACATTTCTTAACACTGATTACGTTAGCTTATGTTACATATCAAGATATTAGAAAAATTAGTGGCCTTAAAGACCAAACTGTTATAGTTGTGAAAGCTCCTCCAGAAACAAGACTTGAAGTGCCTGACCCAGTGGAGGTAAGAGCACAGTGGTTTTCCTTATTGCATACTAGGTTTTTATCTATAGCTGGATGTGTTTGTGACTTTCTGTAGCATCGAGTTGGGTCATTACTGATATATATATATAGCCCTTTATTCATCCTTCTTGAAGACTGGAGGGGGGGAGGCCTTTTTTTTAAAAACCTGAAGGCAACTACATAATCAAACTGCCAATTACATAGCAGATACTAATCTTTATATTTCTCCTACACCTTTCCTGGAGTATCACAGTTATGCTTTTTGATTCTTGATCCTCCAAAACAATTCATTATCTTTTTCAATTTTTTTGTAAAGAAAAATCCTCTCCATAATTGCATGTAATTCCTCACTGTAAACCTGTAGCATTTTGAAGTTTACTGGTCCTGCTTCCTACAAAACTTGTTGAATCTTATATAAACTCTTTCATATCTGCCGCCTTCTTCCCCCATCAGCGTTTCCCTGTTATCCCTTAACTTTACCAAAATCTGACTTTACGTTATTGTGACCCATCATTCCACTTGAATAGATTTGCTGTTGCTGTGATTTTGACCTGGGAGGAATTTCCCTCCCACTCTGCCCATCACAAATAGATCTTCCTTTAGAAATCCACTCTGCTTGTTTTAATCTGCTCTGTCCATCCACTGGCCATCTTCTATCACCCTTGCCTTTTCTACACGGGCTACTGGCTGCCAGATTACCAGAGTATGATGTCTGGTTATCCTTCTTCCTTCCTCAGTTTTATTTTTTCCGATTATCTCAAATAATTCAAAACTCCAAATTGATTGTCTAATATGAGTCAGGATTTTCCCATTTAATTTACCTGATGTCACAGATGCAGACTGACCTGCATTTCAGACTGTCCACTCAGGTAAATGGTCCGCTTCATTTATCTCTCCCTCCTGAGTTCAACCCCTCTGGATCTAGACATCTGGTTGGCAGCCCCACTCTTTCCCAAGCAAGTTAACTTGATGGCCCAAGTGTGTGTGGAGCACAGAACATAAGAACTGTCATTTGCTGGGTCAGGCAATAGGTCCATCTTGCCCAGTATCCTGTGTCACATGGTAGCAGAGAACGGATGCTGAAAGGGAGAGTAAACTGGGTATGAACTAAGGGTTCTTCTCTCATTTGCAGCATTTAAGGTTTAGGAAGTTTTGATTCAGAGGCTATATCCCTGATTCCCATTCTCAATAGCTACTGATGCCCCTTTCCTGCAAGAATATGCCCAAACTGTCAGCTTTCACAGCATCTGGTGGCAGTGAGTTCCACACTTTAATTACATGCACTGTGAAAAAATTTCCTATTGTTAGTTTTAAACTTACTACCTACTAGTTTTATGTTTCATAGTTCTTGTATTGTGAGACAGTAAATAATAAATCCCTATTTACTTTCTTGTTGCCATTTAGTATTTTTATAAAGCCTTATCATGTCCTCCCTCAAGCATCTCTTTTCTAAACTGATTAGGCCTAGCCTCTTCAGTTTGTCCTTATATGGAAGCCCCTCCGTACCACTAATCGTCTTTGTTGCCCTTCTCTGTAGAAACCCTTTTGTTCCCCAGACCTCCAGACTCAACTAGTGTTTTCAGATCAATGTGTTGTTTTGTCATTTACCCAACAGTACACAGCAGTTAGAGGCAGTGAGTAAAACAATAAAGGTTTAGGTACTCATACCTGAACTTCAGCAGCATTGGTAAGTTCCTCTGAGCCAAGATGTCCCTATTTGTGAGTTGGGAGGACAGATAGTGCTTGGGTTTTCCCTTAAAGATTTCTCTCCAATGGCAGCTAGTCACTTAAACCTCATCACATTCTTCAACCTAAGATCCTTCAGTTTTGATCCTAGTCTCAGTTTGAGAAGCATAAACCTTGCTAGCCTGTTTGAGACAGTTAAGGCCATTCTCTGATAAATAGCTCTCCATATTGTCCCCCTATATTGTCACTGTCATTATTTTGTTTCCTGTTTGTTTTCCCCCAATAGCCTTTGATTTCATTTTTAGCAGTATGACAAGATGATATCAAACAGATAAACTGAGGTTCATAGGATACTCTTTCATTTTTTCATACTTGACCTGCTTCAGCTTCAGTCTGCACTCACTTCTCCCCCTCCTACATATTAGTCACATGTTGTACACCTCAGTTACCCTTGATATTGCTCTTGCCAGATAGCACAGTCCTTCTTTTAGTTTGCTTGTTTTTTTCAATATTGTTCCTTAACCCCCTCTCAATCTATTCTTAGCTTCAGTATCTATAGCCTCCTGTTTTCTTGATAAATTGTTTTTTGTCTTGAACTACACAGCAATATGGGCCAGATCCTATTCCACCTAGTAGCTAGGTACATGTGCTTTCAGTGTCTAGGTGCAATCCTGTCCTACGATGCTTAAGTCTCTGAAAAGCCATTAATGGATCTATTTTTTAAATGCACCTTCATATTGGCTTTAAGCCTAAATTGGAAAACGCAGTGAGGATGCAGGAACTTTTTGCATTAACTTCCTAGCAGGTTGGAGTAGAATTGTACCTAGATGCCTAATAGATTAAGAGCTAGCCCTTTGTACACTTACTATGGTAAAAAAAAGTCCGGATATGAGGAACCATTTGTCTAAGAGCACAATAAATAACTCTGAGAAGAGCAAAGGTGTCTGTGCTACTGGTGCCTTAAATCCACTAATAATATAATGCATCCTTGATGATTTCCATGAGCCTGAAGCAAAGTGTTTTTTTTTATTGGAGAGTTAATATTATTTTTTCCATCACAGTAATAAGAGCAACAGACTATATTTGTATCCATCCAGATATATTTTCACAAACAATTTTTTTTTCTCCCTCAACTTGTGTACTAAAAAGAGAAAATGCTAACTTTTCAAGACAAAGAGGGAATTTCAATCCCACAAGGAGCTTCTCCAGAATTGGTCTGCTGTAAGAGCATGGCATTTGCTTTCTTAGGAGGCAGAGGGGCTCATAAACCAAGCATTTTGGGGAAGAAAAAGCCACATGATCTATTTTATGTTTATGGTTTAGAAAAACGTCCCCTATTGGATGTTGTCAGTGATTTTTTTCCATATGCAGTTAATTATATTAATTTTTCATGTAAACCAGATCAGCATGCTAAAGCATTCCAGCTTTTTAACCTCAAAAAACCCTTTTTGCTACTTCATTTTTAAAGCAGAAATATGAAAAAGTATATAAATGCTACAGTGTAATGTCATCACAGCTGTTGTGAAAAAGTGTTAATGAGTCTGGTCCCCTTTTATGTGTACCTGCCTATAACATAACAAATTGATGGACTTCTTAGGTTTGTGTTGCAAAGAAGTGGGAAGAAGGTTGATTATATGATGTCTTCCCATTTCTGAGTTGTATCAACCAAGTCTCATATATTTAAAAAATAAGGTGGAATGTAAAAATAATTCTTCTTGTTTGTTGTATCAGAGCAAATTCAAACAGCGGCAGCCAAAACGTCCATCTCTGCCTTGTATTTTGTCACCCCTGGGCAGATGTATTACTATTCCATTGCTTGTTTTTATCAAACTTTCCTAAAATTTGACATCTCTTCTATTAGCAGAGTGCATTGATACACTTATCTAGTACCCAAGGACCTATTGAGGTTTATCTGTGTCCCGAGGAAAATGATGCCCTCAGTCCAATGAAAATGTACAGTCAGGACCACAATGGAAATATCTCAAAAAACATTTCCAAAGGTAAGATACTCCACGTGATGTGCAAAAGTCTTCAGTGTGGTATGAAAATGTGGCTGGAGTCATCTGTGCAATTGTATTTTTGGGTGCTTTTTTGGCCAAGGAACTGGAAAGCTAAGGTGCAAGTTTTCTTCAATATCTTTCTGATGCGTATTAAAAAATATCTTTTTCCCCTCTTTGCCTTGTACTTACAACAGGGGTGTCAGACCTGTGGCCACAGGCTGCATTCAGCCCATGCAGCTGTGTAATCTGGCTCATGGGCTGCTGGAACAACCCTATGAGCTGGCCCTGCTCCCATGTGTTGTGCGTAGCACATACTGGCTCCAAGATCCAGCACTGCATAGGAGGTCAGACCTAGTCCCAGCTACAGGGCCAGATGAATTTGACACTCCTGACTTATGACATCAGATCTTCTCTTTGCGGATTTTATGAAGCTATATATTTATAGCTGATCTGTTTAATAAAATGTATCTACTTGACTGTGACTTTCTGAAAGAGAACAGTGGGCAGCAAACAAATATTTTCTCAGTCAGAAGCAAAATGCTACATTTACTTATTTGTCATCTGCAGTTAACCAGTCAGACATTCAAGATGCTTTATATTTATTTAGAAAGCCTTGAATATACTTTACTTGGACATAGTCCCAAAGCCAGTTTATGTGTCCTATTAAGACTTTCATAATATGTTTGCCTACTGGTTTCCATTGAAGAATCTGCGTCTTTCATTTAATTTCATTTCTTTATAAGTAATTGCTGACGGATGCTGCTTTCTATGGCAAGGATACAGTAAATTCGTAAGAAAGCTTATGTTGCTGTCATCACCCCCGTCCCTCTCCCCCCATTCACTAAACCTAAAGGTATTTTTTCCAACATGCTATTTATAATCTATGATCAGGTGGATATAAGTAAGCAGAGAAAGAAGAACACTTCTTTGCTGTGCATTTAAGTAACTTGGTGAAAAACCTTTGCTTTGGTATTTAATTGTTATATAAGAGATGAGATTATCACTATCTTTAACTTTCTTATCTAATAGATTTGGCTTCTGGTAACTCAGGACAAGGTGACAACTCAGTGAATATGACGAACATCTCTCCACTGGCTTCTCCAACCAACCTTCTGCAGCAGACAGAGGACCAAATTCCCTCAAACTTTGAAGGGCCATTTGTGAACTTGCTGCCTCCTCTGCTTCAGGAAGATTATCTGCTGAGCCTTGGGGAAGAAGAAGGCATCAGTGATCTCTTTGATGCTTATGATTTTGAAAAGCTTCCCTCATTGGTGGATGAGTTTATATACAGTTGATTATGTTAATTTCTATATAAAGCATTTTTCTTTAAAAATGGCACCAGAACACCTGCTGTCACTCAGAGTTGTTCCCTAGCCCCCCAAGGATAGCATTACAGAGGAGTAAACCAGACTTCTGAGCAATGCTGACAGTCTAATGAAATACATCCTAGGTTAGTACAACCAACTGCAGGCTCTTGCAGCAAAGACCTGTGTGACCCTAGGCTCCAGCACCTCGTGAGTCAGCAAGTGGCACAGTGTGCAGGCAGGTAGTGTAAATGACTTCTCCCCCACTTACTCAGTTTCTGATTACAGTGTCAAGTGGGCTTGTGGAGGAGGGCTCAATGAACTGGTTTAGTCATAAATAGCAATTTTTTAATAGTACTTCAGGCCGTGCCTTCTGTGGAGAATGCATGTCTTTTGAGTCTCGCAACCTGGATTGTACCTGCAGTAAACGTAAATATAAAGTAATGCAAGTGTGTGAAATGGGTATCTTCAACTCTGCAGGAATGTTTAAATTGCTCAAAATGAGCATTTTGAGAGCAATGTATGTGTTTCAATATGAGGTCAGATACTAAAGTCCTTAAAAAGCTTTTAATAAAAATACACTTTAAATGTAGTGTATATTTCAAATATGGGCAAAGTATAATGTTCTGCCACTTCTCATAGTAACCACATATTTTTTAAAAAGCTTATGTGCGTGTGTTTGTGTGCGTGTGCGAGAGAAAGTGTTTTACTTATTAAAAAAATAAAACGAAGATGCACAGTTCAGTTTTACTGCCCCCAGTGTGCACTAGAACTGGTACATAAATTTTTCTGGTACTAAGTGGGGCTTTGTGTTAAGTGCCTACTAGAGATGCACTGTGGGTTTTTCCCTTTATGGAAAACAACTTATGCCAAGCTTTGTTTGTTCAGTAATACCATATTTATCTCAGTGGGTTAGCTTCCTCTGCTTCTAGCTTTTATAATTCTCCTTGCCAGCAACATGGGACTGATGTTTTTTCCAAAGTAAAAACTACATAAGTGTAAGTACCACATCAACTGAATTGTTTTATTTTTGAAACTCTTTGGTAGAATAGTATAGCAACAATATTTATTTTTTTTCTTTTGAAAGTGAAAAGAATTCTAATGAGTCTTAAATAATTTCCATTTTTGTGTAAAATGTTGCCACTTTATGGGCTAAATTAATGTGTGTTGGTTTGGATGATGCCCCATATAATCTTCTGTTTGCATTATTGTTGTGTTTATCTGACATATATAGTAAATTTAGTAGTATTTTATATTGTAGTTTGAATATTATGTATGCAGGTTTTCTGGTACCATTGAGTTGCTGCTATAGAAGCTCACATATGAAATGGCAAAAATTTACAGTACTTAAAACTGTATGACTGAGTGAGCCTTAGAATATAACAGTGTATAAAGGGCAACACATTAAGAACTGTTAAACAGTGTTAAGTGTGTGTTTATGTGTACAAATGTGTGCATAGATCATTCTGCAGTTATATTTAAGTTGATGTATGTTCTCTACTCACACTTTAGTTGTCTAGCAGTTTTGTACAATAGGAATTAATTTGTAAACACTGCCAGAATATTTTCTAGCTGGTTTGTAATTTTTTAAGAGTTTTTTTAAATGATGTGGGTCTGTAAATAAAATTGTAGTATTTAAAGTTTAAGTCTTGTGGAAGAGGAAAGTAAAAGTTTTGTGAGCATGAAGATTTTGTGTGAGACAAGGGGCACTTTTGTGGGGGAAGATAAAATGAAGACTAATGGATATTGTCTGTCTTTGTTATACCATTTTGTACAAATTAAACACTTGTCCCAATGTGTGCGGGCAAAATACTAAACTAATTTAGCTTTGCATTGTATGCTAGTTTAAAAAACCTGTAAAATAATGTAAAAAAAAAAAAAAGCTTTTATGGTGGGTTTTGTAAATAGATTTATTAAAGGGTGACCTGTTCTCTAGCTGTGATCTTACCACTTCAAATGGATGTAATTTGAATAAATTTTGTATGGTAATGAATCAATAAAAAGGATTTTTTAAAGAGTTTAGTTTTGTATGCTGATGTCTATTTTGGAATCATGCTTTTTTTAAAATCTTGTTACTCATAGTACTTTACCAGTATAATTTGTATTACAAAACCTTTATCAATGGTAGCTGTTATTGTTTTTGACTTCTTTCATTTGATGAAAAAAAAATTGGAATCCCATTAGGTTATTTGTCTAGCTAGGTTGACAATATGCTGTGCTGCGCAAAAAAAAGCAAACAGCTATAAAAAAATTAACAAACAAAATGACCATGTTCAGATGAGTGCAGCCGTGCGGTATGTGGTGCTGCAAACATATCTGCAGCGCCATATACCACGCGTTCAAATGTTCTGCACACTGCAGGGGAGTGCTGCCCATGTGTGTGCTGCTCCACTTTTTATTTGCACAGGTTGTTTGAACCCCTGGACATCTGGGGGTCAAAAAACACCCAGGGAAAAAAACAGGTTTTTTTAATAAGCATTATAAATTCACTACTTACTGACCTCACAGAAGTACTGTTTTTAGGAAGGATTGGCAGGATGGGAGGGAGAGGAATAGGGAGACTTAAAGAATCTAATGATTCTCCAGCTGCTGATTCCTTGGGAGGATTATCCCCAATTAAAGAGGGTCACTCAGTCAATAGTGGCTCTGGGAATAGTGCCATGTACTGTGGAGCCTTTTCAGGTTTTTTTAGTGTATGTTCAACTTCTTAAGGTAGATGTCCTCCAATGAACACCTTCACTTCCATGCTTTACTTTCCCTGTGGTAGCTGTAAGACTTCATCATGGGAAAAAAAAATAGGAGGAGATAATCTCCTTGTAATGTGTTTGCTGTCTCGTCCACTACACAATGGAACAGCTCAGAGCTATGGGTCACTTGCTTTCCTTATATCCTTATATTATTATATGTGGGTTTATGCTCACTTGCATAAACCCATATACAGGAAGGAAGATCATGAAGATTTTCCTTCTTTGCACTTTCCTCATATACAGAAGAGAGTCATGGGTGGGATTTGTCCTCTCACTTCTATGATCTCACATACAGAGGTAAAGGCTGACAGGCAGATTCTCTCTTTCTCCCCATTCTGGCATTGTGTGCCTAAAACTTGCTCAAGTACCTTCTATAAGCAACTCTCACACACAGTTTCTATTCACCCACTGGCTGTTAGATTTGATGTTTCTCCCTCCCCACATGCTGTGCTGTAAATTACTCTCATTACTTCTTGCAGCAGCTGGGTTGTCCTTGGAAGTTTTGTATCGACATATTGCTTGGAAATTAAACCCTAACTTTCGTTAGTGTATCTATGCTAATTTGTAGTGTGAAAACTCATTATCTATCTAGCAAGTTGTTACTCATTTCACAGAGGATTTGTGGGAGTCTATGTACTCCATATTGTCTGCAGTTGTAAGACTGGAAAAGCATTTGGGAAATCAGTAAGATACAGATGGCTTAACAGGCTCTCCTTGTTCATGGCTGCACTTCATATGCTAGCTCTTTCGATCCTGAGCAATGGGTTTATTCCTATAAACCTCACCACAACTGGGTGTGTACTCCAGATGGCACAATATAGAGCAGGAGTGGGCAATTATTTTGGTTGGAGGGCCACTATAGGAATTTGGAGGAGCTGTTGTGGGCCTGGGAGGGAGGGGAGAAATAAGATATTATCCAACCCAGGCCTGTCTGGTCCATACCCACTGCCAGGTGTGCCAGAGGCAGTGCACAGGCAGGATCTCCATGGAGACTGCTCAGGACCCCTGCAGGCTGGGTGCGTTTGGCTGGGTGGATGGGATGGAGCCGTAGGCAGGCAGAGCGGCAGGCAGGGCCAAGTTTGCAAGGCAGTGACAGTGCCGGGCTGAGGCCAGGGGCAGGGCTGTGATCTGCTCCTTGCACGTCCCTGCTGCGGCTCTGGCCCAGGCTGCAGCCCTGCGCTGTCACTGCCCTGATTTCCAGGCCCCAGCCGCTGGCTGCCTGTCCCACTCCTGGATGCTTCTCCCCACTTGCTCCCGGCTCCATCGCATCCACCCAGCCAAGCGTGCTATGCCTGTGGCTGTGGGGGGGAGGGGTACCAGGTGGTGTCCATGGAGAAACCACCTGCCCGCTCCCTCTGGCGCCCCTGGGGGTGGGTGCAGGGTGGACAGGCCAGGGTGCCCAGGCAGCAGGGCCAGGTCTGGCAGCAGGGCCAGCTGGAAGGAACCACAGTAGCGGAGGCTGCCAGGAAGCAGAGTCCAGCCGCTGAGTTGCCCATGCCCTGCCATGTGCTCAAGGGCAACAGGACTGACTACACATGCCACAGCCTGGGCTACCCCCCTGCGCCTGATCTGGGTGGGTCCAAAGGACCTGCTGCAGGCAGGATAAAATCCCTTGGCAGGCTGGATCTAGCCTGTGAGCTGTATCTTGCCCAACCCTGATGTAGGGGCTTTGATCCTCGCGCTGAAGTCAGGAGTAGATTTGTCTGAGGCAGATGGATGCTGCCTGCACAAGAGGCAACAGTATGCTGGGCGTTTTTTGTGACTCGCCTCTCCTGTGTAAACCTGGTCACTCTTCTGCTTATGCTCTAAAACATTTCTGTAGTTGAATTTACCACATGAAATCTTAACTTTCCGTAAGTACTGAGCATTAATGAGGTTAGGAGACAACATGCCTTTTCTAGTGTTTCTTTTCCTTTATGTATTTTCTGTGGTAATAGACACACTTCCTCAACACTTATGGGAGCTATATCTTGAGTTGGGATGGGAGTGGTAGGAGAATAATGGACTGATGACAGAGGGAGAGTAACCTGGAATCAGCTTGGGAATACAGCTTGGGTACAGAGGCACTGAATCTGATTCATTGGAAAGTAACACTTGAAATCCTTGGCATGTAAGTTGTTAAGCACATGAGATGGAATGGGAATAGGTGCTGAACAAGCAGAAAGAAGCTGTTAGCTCTGTACAAAATGGTGACATATGGCCTTTACTCGGAAAAGTAGTTCAAAATCCCCTAAACAGTTGTACAATAATGCAATACATAATAGTTATGGACACAGCTTCCCTCGGCAGCATTTCCAGGCCGACAGCTTCTAGAAATCTCCTACTCAGCAATGCAGTAAGTTTGTCTACCTGCGTGGGGGTCTGGCATAAGATACAAGGTCAAGTGATTCTTGGCTGCCCTGATAAAATCCTCCTCTTGCTTGGACTTCATAGCACTTGTGGGGGTCAAGTGACTTTCCAGTGGGTTTTTGGGGAAGTTACTGGTTTTCATGTTGGCCATGGCCATGTTGTTTTGCATGCTTTGTGGGAAATGAGCCAAAATGTGGTCCAGTTCTTCAAAGTACGGACACATAGTAGGAGCATTAATGCAACACCTGTTCTGCTCTCATGTCTTTAGCTGCTTCTCCTGGAACTTTTTTGGATTGACTCAACTCTGGAAACTGCTCTAGGACGAGCCCCTGTCTTCAATTGCCCTCACAGTGTTTAAAAAATGGTGACTTCTCCAAATGAGACTAAACATGCTGTTTCCTAAGAAGGGCAACTAAGTCCAGCACTTTCATAGCAACAGATGAGGGCGTGGCTTCTTTACTGAGCATATGAATTCACTGCTATCTTTTTTTGTTGTAAAAGGACACTCATACCAATATCCATCTGATCAAGATGACCCCAGAGCAGCAGAGCGCACTCAGGGACAAGCTGGTTCCAGTGTGAAGCAGTCAGTGTAGGACTGTAGTTGGAGGTAGCTGGAGTTGTAGCAAGAAGTGAGAGGGTCAGGAATGGGTTTCCATGAGCAGGCTGACTGGGAAGGAGAGTTAACTTCTGTTCCAAAGTGAACTTGATGTGCCCAAAGACACCAAGTAATTTTGGTTTATTAAAAATAAGTTGCATGTGGAAGCAAGGCACTTAAGGCAAACCACGCTAATGACAGCCGTTCCAATGGGAGCAGGGGATCACGGCTCTGCCCCAGTTCCTTGCAGTGGTGACAGCCTTGTCTGGAGCAGGGGCAGAGCAGCAATCCTCTGCTTGCACACCCCTGCTCGGAGTGTGCAGGCTACAGATCATGGCTCTCCCTGGCTCCAGAGCAACCTGCCCCCATCACAAGATCCCAGTGGCTCCAGAGCAGTCCACCACCCCACTCTGCCACATGCGCTGCCAGCGTGGCTGCTTTCCATGGCAAAGCCAGTCCTGAGTTTTCCCACACAGCTGAGGCTGGGGTCTCCATGGAGACCGGCCCCAGCCATGTGGGCAGGGGCTGCTGGGAAATGGTGTCCGGCTGCTGGCCAGATTGACGATTTTGCCCACCTCTGGCCTAGATGACGAAGTCTTTTCTGGTTTTAAAACGCTATAAAAAGAATGAGGAGGAGGACAAATTGTGAAGAAACAGGAAAGGATCCGCTCATGGCTGCACAATAAAGACTGGAACAGTTGGAATTGATTAGTGCTGCCTCTGACACTATTTAGTCCTAGGAAGATGCGTCTCAAACATCTAAAGCAGACTAGACTAGCCAGGTCAGTGCAGGGACTGATGCCCTCAGATTTCTCTATAGTCCACTGGCTAGTTTCAACTCTTGGCTAGAAATGCTACAAAGGTAATAAATTACCTATCACTTTATGTGTATTATGGACAGGGTCCATAATACACCCTGGAAGTGGTGTATTAATACACCACTGGAAGTGGGAGGGTCATAATACACCCTGGACGTGGGAGGGTCAGGGATGGGTTTACATGAGCAGACTGACTGGGAAGGAGGGTTACTTCTATTACTGTTTCAAACAAAAGGTCAACAGGCTGCCAAGCTTTAGCTGCAGTTAGACTTATAAGTCTAATATGGAGTAGATTCATGGCATCTACTGACTTTTCAACCAGTTCAAGAGGGACTATAACCTGTTGCCTGTAGGAAAAAAAATCCTTTAAACAAAGTAGCGTGACATTCCAGGTGCATTTGTATCAAAAAGAGATATACTCTGTATGCCCTGGAGGAGATACAACGTCAAAAAGGGGTCAACGGTCTGCCCTTACCCTAGCAGTCCATAGTGGTTATACACCAGTGGCACAACAGAACGATGCTTATCTAGCTGCTTTTGGCTCCTGCATAAATTACCTAGATTTACTGCTGGGTCAACTGAGGTGGACAGTACAAGTCCAGCACAAGTCCATGCTCGCACTCAGACTTCTGGAACTGCAGCAAGATGCCCCAAACTCTTTGGACTTGAAGGAGATGCAGGGCACACAAAAATAAACCTGCCAAATCGTGCATGTTGAGATGTTTCAGCTATAACAGTAGTTTGTTTTCTGATGATATCCTGCTCCATATTAAGAAAAAATAACCCAACATTTTATTGATGTTTTTCCTCTGATCTGGGTCTGCTAAGAGCCCACCTAAAGTTTGTGCTATTTATATAAGTGGGACTGTTGCCATTGCTTTATCAGGAGCTGGATTAGGCGCACACTTTTATAATTTTGGATGCATAATCTTGCGTTGAATTAATTTTGCAACCTCAAATAATGCTGAGGTCATATTGAAAATGCAACCAAATTTCAAAGCAAGTGCAATTTATCTTCAGGCCCTGCCACACATTCAGCTGAAAGCTGGATAGAAACCAATGATTGAGTTGTTACACATTTTCAAGCACAAACTTTGTATCTGGTTGGCACTCCTAATAGCTGGATGGATGTTTTTATGGTGTGGTAGTTACTTTGCACAGCTACATCTATTGCACAATTCAACAGTGAAGTTCATAACTAAGGCCAGCCCTTATTGTGTGATTCACCACTAAATTGTGTGATAACTTTAGATGTGGTTCATTTACAGTGCTCACTTTGCACATCTGGCCAGCCTACATTTATTGTGCGAGTCACCAGTGAACTGCATGATAATACCTTTGCATGCGTGACCTGTCGACATTTACTGCACCATTCACCAGTGAATTGGATGCTAACAACTTTGCACATGTGACCCATCTCACTTTGCACATGTGGCTAATCTACATGGATTATGCTAATGGTTCCCAAACTGTGGGTCATGACCCCAAATGGGGTCACAACATCAGCATTTGGGGTCAGAGCGGCTGTGGGTTGGGATTGAGGTGCCATGTTGAGGAAATGTGGCCATAAATGGGGTCATACTGAGAAAAGTTTGGGAGGCACCGGATTATGCATTTCCTCAGTGAATTGCATGATATACGTAATGTCTGGCAAGGGCCTTCAAAGTCTTATTTTTCTGAAGGGTAGCATCTTGAGACAGTCGTTGGCTTTGCAAAGCAGGCTCCTTTTTCAAGAGGCCAGGAGCCTGGTGGGTGGGCTCTTTTACTGGACCAGGTGCATGGCTGGGAGAGGGGTGGGCAAGCTTGCCCATATGCCAGGACTCTTGCTCCAGTCTCTGCTCAGGGCCGGGTGCTGCGCTGCCCCCAACACTTTGCCCAGCGCTGCTACGTCTTAAATATGAAATGACTGTATTGCAAGCTCAAAATTATTGTACGTGCCAAAAAACTACCGTACACTAGAAAAAATATTAAGATAAATATGCAGGTAAATCTTCATATTTACTTTCTGTTGCTCACTGTAGGTCCCCATGGAGTGATTGAGACCCAAAAGTCAGTTAAGACTCTCTGAGAGTGACTTCCGCTTTGCAAATGCTGCATCAGTTGGCTCCTTCAAGAAGTCTCCTGCATTTTCAGCACTTTTATTTTTCGTACATCGTACAAGGGGCGAAATTATCGTACAAATACAACCATTACGGTACACCCAGACGCACCGCCCCCGCCTTTCCTCCTCCTTCTGGGTCAGACCCAGGGGAGAAGCCGCGCACGTGCCGAGACTAGAGCCCACGCTGGTCCCACCGCTTCCCCTCCCCACCCGGGCTCTCACACCCCGGCCGCAGCCTCCCATTGGCCGCCGGGCAAGGTGATGCCCCGCCCCGCCCCGCCCCGCCAGCCTTAGATCTGGTGGGGGCTGAGCAACCACTGCTTTCCTCCAAACCAGCTGCGGCGCGCACTAGTTTGTCCGCTCTGAAGCGCCGTCGCCGTGCTGTCACGTGAGCAGGGGGTAGAGCGGGCATGATGGCGGAGCCCATCCAAGCCTGAGAGGCGCGAGTGCGGCAGGTGAGTAGTAACGTCTGCCTCTTCCGTTGCCACCCCCCCTAGTCCCTGCTGCGGCCGGGCTGCGTCTGGACCCCGAGTGCCCCCGCCCCACGGTTTCAAGCTCCAGGGGCGCTGGGGGTTCCCCCCCGCCCATGTCCTATTCTTGGGACGGCCCAGAGCGACCGTTGGGGCCCGCGTGAGCGGTTCTGTTTTTCCGGGGGCAGGTGAAACGCACGTGAACGGTTCCATTCCCGGGGAGGGGGGTGTGGAACACTCGTGCAGCCCAGGCCAGCGGCCCCAGCCGCCCTGACTTGGACTGGTCCGTCTTGGAACTTTTCTTGCCAGGGCCCTGCTGGGGGTTCCGGTGGGCACGTGGGGGCTGGAGCTGAGGCTAGGGCCACTGAACAGAGATGGTGCCTATGCATCCTGCTTGCCTTTGCACTCCCGTGCTTTTGGAGCCCAACTCCCTCATGGGCGAGCTCCCTCCCTGCCACCTCCCCACAGGAATAGGGGTGCTGGGCTCTTTGGCCAGAGGCAGGATGGATTTGCACTTTATGCCCTCCAGCACTGTTGTTACTGTGCTATCCTTCAGCACTTCCTTTTGGCAGTGCTAAATGACAGCCAATGCTGCACAGTCCAAGTATTGTTATTTTTACCCGCTATGTCGCCATAGTGATGCACTATACTAAAGGAGCGTGTTGCTGCTGCGGTGTAGCTGTGGCATCATGGCTTTTGCCAGCTGATGCTGCGTCACTGTCATGTCTCATGTAGACGTGTCCAGGGAATCTCAACCGGGGGTCTTGGGAGGGTGCTGCAGGGAGGAGAGGGGAGGCAATTCACAGGCAAGGGAAGGCTCAAGCTCCAAGTCGAAGGAGATCAGCAGAGAGGGACTGGCACAGGCTCCCTGTGCTGCCTGGCCTCTCTGTGAGGAGGTAAGCACTGTAAATGAACCAGTTTCTTCTGGCTAAGATCAAGCAGGACAAGGGGCATCTGATCTCCCATATCTGCAGCTTGTACCTAGGATACCTGCCTGGATATGGGGAGCATCTGAAGTCCCAGACTGATGGGTCTGGGAGGGAAGAGACTTGCTCCATGGTAGAGCCACCCAGACTTGACAGTTGAGTTTTGCTCAGTCAGATTTGGGAACTTGACTATTGGGCTTTGTCCAATTGAATTTGGAACAGATTTTTGCCCTTGACTAAAAAGAAAAATAAAATCTATTAGCATTTGAAAGGGGTGCTGCTCAAATCGCCTGAGTTCTGGAGGGTGCCTGGGGTTGAAGGAGGGTTGCCTTGGGCCTAAAAAGATTGAGAAGCACTGTTACAGAGTTACTAAATCAGAGATGCATAAGCTCACCTAAACAATGTCTTACTTCTTAGATGTGTCCCATCTAATGAAGTAAGCTGTTGCTTATGAATGTGTAGGCATCTCTGATTTAGGTTTGTGCTTGCATTGTCAGGGGAAAGCTGATAGTAGAAACACAAACACCTCCCCCAGCTTTTAACAACTCTGTCATCACACCTCTTCCATCCTAGCTTTCTCTTTTCAGTCTGAATATTTATCCCTGGCTACAGTAGTCACTTCACTACTGGAATCCATGCATGATCATCATGTGTCAAATTAAGAGATCACATTTGTAACCAAAGCTCTTGTAGCTGTTAAGCCACCTGTTTTAAGAATTTGATCAGTGTGAAAAAACAGCATGCTGCCTGTGACCAGCGCATGAATAGGCTTATGCTAATCTTACCTTTAAGAGCTTTTTTTTTTTCTTTTCTTTTCAGATTCATTAATCAGGAGGACTTAAAAGAACATTTATTGGAAAGGTATTTTTGGATATGGTAATTTAGAATGTGTGTTAGAAGCTTTTGAAAATAAGGGGTGCCTAATTAAAAAGCTTTATTCAGTAGTTTTGTTCACTCTTCACATAGGCCAGAGGTATCAAACTCATCTGGCCTCTGGGGCTGGTTCCGGACTGTGGGGCTTGTGGGCTAGATCTGGACACAGGTGGCAGTGGGGCCAGCGGTGGCTACAGTGGTTAATACAGCTGTTGTTTGCTCCCTACCACTGAGAGATCCTCAGTGGGGCCCTGTACCATTGATTTGCGCAGTGGGCCTTGTACTTGGTCCCTCTGGATGAGGCCTGCAGGGCGCACATTTGGCATCCCTGACCTAACGTGTACTTCAAAGAAGAGCAGTAATGTCATGAGCCATTTGTTTTTTAGGGGTGTATTCTGTGCCTTTAGTGCTCAAGTTTTTCAGTGTTGTTTTTGTACAAATTGCAGTGATTTGACTCTAGCAATTAGGAAATGTTTGATTTTTTTTTTTTTTTTTTTTTTTTTTTT